TTTAAATGTGTAAAAGGAAACACACGGGATTACAAAGGAAACCAATTATACTGAATTACAGCATTAATATAAATAAAAACAAATTGGAAATCTAGAAATTATCCTTTGAGAGGGAAGAAATAAAATTCTAAAAAACTCTTAATATAAATAAAAACAAATGATCATTGAAAACTAAACTCATTCTGTAACACAGGCTGTTGTTGAAATAAGTGGTCTATTTTCAAAATCACCATGAGGTTGGTAATATGTAACTTGCCTTCCTTAGGTAGTGGTAACTATTTTATCAGTGCAGAAACAATTCCTTAAAGTGAGTTTTTACACCATAGGCTAAGTGATCCTTTTAAAATGGAAATCAGATTGTGTCTTCCCCCCACTTCTGATTCTCAAATGGCTTTGTCAGAATAAAATTCAGTCTTTAACACAGTCTGCAGTGTTCTATAGTCATAATCTAGCCGGTGGCTACATCTTTGACCTCATCTTCCACAGTCCTTAGTCCACTGGTTTATTGTTATTCCTGAAACATACCAAGCTTATTTTGGCTCTAGGGCCTTTGCATTTGTTCTTCTCTGCCCAAAATACTTTTCCTTTTTTTTTTTTTTTGTTATTTCAGGGTATTATGAGGTACAAACATTATGGTTACACTTCATGTCTTTGCCTCACCCAAGCGAGGGTTAAAGGCATTCCCTTCCCCGCTACAATGCTCCCCGTGTCCTTTAGTTGCGGGTAATGCTTTTCCTTTTTACATAACTTGCTCCCTATTTTATTCTTGTCTTTATTCAAATATAACAGAGACGTCTTCCCCAGGTAGACTAGTAAAATACACCCTCCCACCTAGACTTCCATCACAGTTATTCTTTATGTCCTTTTTTCCCCTTCAGAGCTTTTATTACTACTTGACATTATCTTACATATGTGTTTATTTTCTGACTTCTTCATTAGAATATAAGATCTATGAAGGCAGGCATCACACAGTGCCTGGCATGCTATAGATGTTCAGTAAATTTTTGTAGAACAAATATGAAGAATTGATCAATTAAAATACCCATTTCCAAGAAAATATTGACATTGTAGATGTAAAAGAAATGGATATTTTATTGATGTTATTGCATCATTTTACTGTTTAGTGTGAAATACATGCATTTCTTTTTGAAATAGTA